AAAGATAAAACTAAAAATATCTCACCATTCTTTTCCTCGTATCTGGCAGTTCCTGGCCCCCCAATTTACAGTTGAATACATAGGTCTAAATCCACTTTCAAATGCATTTTAATTTTAATTTGGGGACCAAGAACTCTGTTGGAACATTTGAAAAAGGCAAAAAAAAAGTTCACATTTTTTGGGAATGCAGATTGAGCTGAGAAATTCATTACATTATCATAATCCACATAGATGAAGATTCTTAACAACTCTGGTTTTAGAGTTCTTTATTATTCCTTGGCCAGTAAGGAACATTATATTAATGATGGTGGACAATTAGCACATTCTATCCCAAGGTTAGATAATCAGTTTTAAACACTGCTTTCTGGTGAGCTCAAGGATTCATAAAAATGTTTCCTTCCTTCCTTCCTTCCTTCCTTCCTTCCTTCCTTCCTTCCTTCCTTCCTTTGTCCACCCTTCAAGGTACTCCAGACAGGAAACCAAAACCATGAGTACTAACACTACCTTTATTGTAAGGTTACAATAACAATCTTGCAAGTCTGAAAGCATTTCTCCCTTCGCCTGCCTTTACTTTCCAGAGAACTAGGAAGGATCCCTTCTGAGACACTTTCCCCATCCCCAGTCCTTCTGTGGGCTGAGATATTTCTTATCTGACCATTGCCCCGGCTGTGGCTCTTCCTTCTGTCTCCCAAGGTTATTCTCACAGACCATTACAGGAACAATGGACCCATTTTTCTGAGCAAACATTTCAGTAAGGTGGCCTATGCTCATGTTCAGAAATCAGATGTCCCAGAAAAAAATGGTATCTCCACAATGATTCAGTTTTGAGCAACTGGGATAGGGGTGAGTGGTAAGCACAGGAATCTTTTCCACATTAAATGTTCTGCAGTTAATTACCCAGCTTAATGATTGTGATTCAACCAGTTTTCTCACTCCCTGGGATTATCCATCAGAACTGGTAGCTGGTTCCTTTCCTCTGGTTTGTTAATGGTTCCCTGCAGGGCACAATGTGGTACCTCTGTAGAGTATATCAGAAGGCAAAAATGAAATTTGGTTGGTCCATCAACATTCTTGGAAAGGCAACCTCATTTCCAGAAACCAGCAGACCACATCTATATAAGGTTTCCAGCATTCCATTTGTTTGTTCCTATTTTTTATCCTGATCTGCAATGAGCAGAGTAAGGTCGCTTATGGAACTCCCTGATGCAAGATATGTTCATGAGCCCTAATAAAGATGTTTTCAAAGAAGAGGACGAGAAGGAGGGAGAAACTTGGACTAATTCTGGGAGAATAAAAGGTCTGTTCAACAAGACTATACAAATACTTTCCTCTGAATTTTCCCCCCTGCTATTTAAGTGGGAATGGAATGATGAACATTCATGTATGGAGAAAGATAGATAGGCCACTGATTTGATCCAGGATGATGGCTCTTGTTGTTAGTAGTAGTAGTAATAGTGCTAGTAGTATCCTATCAGGGCTACAGGTGGCATTCATAATTCTTTCCACCCCATCCCTATTTTATCTTTTATTAGGTTAAGCTAAGGAATAGCTATTGGTCCAAGGTCAACCAAGGCTGAGTCCGGCTGGAACTTGGGTCTTCTCAGTCTTAAGCCAGCACTCTCATCATTACATCTAGTTTAGGAAGCTGAATGAATGAAAAACTCAAGCGGTGTATAGACATTTTTCTAGAATACAGAGTATAGATAGTTATTGAAAAACATCTGTTTAGAGTAGATGTTCCATTCTCACTGAAGAAATATCAGATGTCCAATTACATGCATCCTCTCCAAAGTTGGGATCTGTTCTGCTCAGTGGGGTGGCCCAATTTACTTAGCATCGATGCTCTCTAAGATGACCAAGCCTTCTGATGGCGTGGTCATTGTCAGATGATCAAAACACGAGGCAGATAATCAGAAGGCCTTTGTTGTATTCATAATCATATCTCAGTTACAGGTAGCCCTGGGCTAATCTCTTACATCATTTATCTTGGCTTTTGCCCATAGACAGCTATGCAGAACAGGTGGGTGGATAGCTTAGTCACCTCTTTGGATATGCAAAACGTTCCGTCCGTCAAGACACGAGAGAACACTTGCAGTGACAGATCAAGACATCAAGCAAACAATTGGGCGATGGGATATTCTTTCCTTTAGTTCCAAGAATGGAGTCACCCAGTCACAAGGGCTCTTTCCGAATATTATAAAGCCACCTCGCAGTCACTCCTCGTTACCTTTAACTGCTGAACATCTCTGCATGAGAAGAGTAGGACCACTTGGTAAGTTACATTTCAACTTAGTATCTTTGACACCCAAGGCAATTTTTTTTTTTTTAGTTCAGTGCAAATGATTAAGCATCCTTTTCTTTATTGGAACATGTGAGTTATAAATTACCTCTATAAATCTATAAAGCAATCATCCTGATGGCTGTGATTGGCTTTCAACCTTCCAAGGAGATCAGGTTGGGGTGAGAAGGAAAGCGTGTGAATCCCATTACAATGGTAGGACTTCTGATTAAGGGATCAGTAGCAAGGTCCATCCATCTGGGCTATCCCTTGATTTGTCAAGCTGCCTCATGATTCTTTGGGGGCTAACCTATGGGTGGTGGGCAGATCAGAAGCAATTACATCTCCTACAATGTCCTTGATCACTGCATAGTGTTGTGAGCAGTGAAAATGGCAGGTAAATTGAGAAAACTTCCATGGTGGGCTGAAACACTTGTAAGGGGAATAGATGGGGGAAAAATGTGAACCTGGGCTCTGGTAGATGTTGCTATCACTGGCCTTCCTTCCTTCCTTTTATTCAGAAGGGTACGGTATATTTTTGTAATTTATTTGTGAGTCAAAAATATCAAGACTACATGGTGGCACCCATGTCTGGGAGCCTGGGAAGATACTCTGGGGGTGGGGGGCAGGCATTAGGTAATGTCTGAATGGAACTAGGAATGAAGTAGGGTAGAAATTAATCCAGCAGGAATGAGTCCTGACCCAAGTTATTTTTGTTCCATTTCATTCATAGCCAGGATCTTCATACATTGGGCTAAGCTATGGTTTGCTCAACCATGGTTCTGTGAATAAATCACAATTGGCTAAATTCACAAATATGCTGGGCTATATGCCATGATTTCTCACTGAAATTCATGAGTTCACAAGAGTTCACCTGAACTCCCCCCGGAAGTGAGATTAGCTCCATCCTTCTTAACATTCCATAAATCCCTCAAGACCTGGCTATGTGATCAGGCCTGGGGTTCCCAGGGGACCGGGGAGATTTTATGATGGCTCCCTTATTAATTTCAGCCCCTCCTGTTTTGTGTGTTTTTACAGTTTTTTATGCATAATTGTTTGTATGTATTTATTTTTTAATTGTTGTACGCCGTCCAAAGTCATCTTGTGTGAGATGGGCAGCTATATAAATATGATAAATAATAAATAAATAAAAATGATTTACAAGACATCATGGCTGAATAAGCTCCAGCCAAACAAAGCACAATAAGGCTTAATGTGTAGTATCACCAAGTCATAATTTTAGTGCCTCTTTAACTTATTCCCAAATACTGCATATTTGTGATAAATTCTTCACTCATTTAAGAAGGGAATGCTCTAGAAGTGGATTACAAAAAAGGTCCAGTCAGTCACCCAATTAATTCATCAATGGTGTGAAGCAATATGCTGTCTTGCTTCCAAATTTTTTTCACCCTATTTTGTAATCTAAAATAGTTTCATCCTTGTGTTCCTAACATACACTTTCTTCACAGATCAAGCCCAAGGTCTCAAGAGATGTATACTAAAGGATACGGGGATGGCGGAGGTTCATACCGTAATTATGGGAGATCTGCATGTTGTGAGCCATCTTGCCACTCAGTGAGACGGCGTTCTGAAGTGAAATGCTGTGATACATCTCCACAGTCATGCTGTCCTCCTGTGCAAAAGTGTTGTCTCCCAAGGCAAAAATACTGTCCTCCAGTTCAAAAATGCTGCCCACCCAAACGGAAATATTGTCCTCCAGTCCAAGACTACTGTCCTCCTGTCCAACCATGCTGTTCTCCAGTACAGAAATACTGTCCACCTGTTGAACCGTGTTATCCTCCGGTACAGAAGTACTGTCCACCTGTTCAACCATGTTGTCCTCCGGTACAGAAATACTGTCCACCTGTCCAACCGTGTTGTCCTCCGATAAAGAAGTACTGTCCACCTATCCAACCGTGTTGTCCTCCAGCGCAGAAGTACTGTCCACCTGTCCAACGATGCTATCCACCTCCACAAAGATATTGTCCACCAGTCCAACCATGCTGCCCAGCTCCACAAAGATATTGTCCACCAGTCCAACCATGCTGTCCACCTCCACAAAGGTATTGTCCACCAGTCCAACAATGCTCTCCACCTCCACAAAGATATTGTCCACCAGTCCAACCATGCTGTCCACCTCCACAAAGATATTGTCCACCAATCCAACCATGCTGTCCACCTCAACAAAGATATTGTCCACCAGTTGAACCATCCTGTCCACCACTTGAGATCTCCCAGGTCCAACAAGTATGCAGAGTGCCTCCCCATCTTCTGAAGTAGCTGCCGAGTTATACTGAATATGAATACCATAATCTAGCTTGAAATGTTATTTGTGCTATTTATTTAGTAGCTGATATGCTTGTGATTAATTATTCTGGTCATTTTGTCTATGTATGCAACGCAATAAAACTTACTAAAGCATCCATCACTCTCAGATTTCCCTTTTTTTTTTCCAAAAGACATCCATATTTCCTGACATAACAATTGTCTGAAGTTTTCTAGGAATAGATCATGAGATTTAGATGGACGTAACAAGGGCTCTGTGGACCTGATGCATTTGAAGGGGGAGGGGGGAATGGACCAAGGAGGACAAGGGACAAAACACGTATTGTGCCATTGTGCTACCATCCCTATTTTATGCATGTCATGAGATGCACGCATATATGAAATAGGCAGAGGTTATGTTGTGCTATCACAACATTCGTCTCAACATTTTGAATTCCTCGAACATTTTGAATTCCGCAAAGAATTGTCATATTTTGCTACCTTCCTCAGAACAATTGGATTGTGAATTCCCTTATGCCACAGCCTGGCTGGAGGGTTTCCAATGCACTCTGGCCAAATTAGTTCACGAAATAGGTGTATTTTCTACTTATCTCCTATATCTTTGCTTGTATTTATTTTCAACACAGAATTATCTAAAGGGGCTCTTCACCCCTCTTCCCATTTTCCACATTTTCTTTTTTTTATAGTAATTTTTATTAAAAATTACAGTTAAAAAGATAAAAACTAATACAAGCCAAAAAAAGACAGAAAAAACAAAGAGTAGAAGGTGCAGAAAAGAAAGAAAAAGGGGAAAGACAGAAAGAGAAATAGAAAAGAAAGAAAAGTAAGACTACAGTAAAGAAAAAGAAAAATATATAAAGAAGTGACTTCCCATCTTCATCACAAGTATAAACAATTTGAGCAACTTATCACCTCCTCTTAAAATACAACAAATGATCTCTTCTTCCCATAGCCCATCTCTTATCTATAAACAAATCCTTATAGCATCGTCATTTCAGTCCTGGTGTCAGCAAAAGTCCATTAAGGGTTACCAGAGATAACAAAATTAACAATCTTGATCTTTAGTCCCTTCAAATAATGTCCTAGAACTTGATTTCTTTTCTTTTCTTTTTTTTTAATCCCTTCTCACAAAATTCTTCAAAGCTTTAACAAGTCTCTTTTGTAAATCCAATATAGAAAAGTTACCCAGATCACTCTTTCGGTTTGACATTTGTATATCCCTTTTAATTATTAAGACATCAGCCATCAGTTTTAAATCCACACAGATCAGTCTCAATCTTGTCCAGTAAAACCTGTACCTCTTCCATAACATCTTTTAAACACAGTCTATCTATATAGGCAGACAGTTTTAAAGTTAACTTCTGGGTCCATTGTTCAAAAATATCCTTCAGTATGTCCAATGTTAAAATATTTTGCTTCATTCTGTATTTGTAAGTTGAATTTCTTTAACTGTAAGTGTTCTTCTTTAATTGTAATCTTTAGTTCCTTCTAGTTCCCTCTAGTGTCCAGGCTTCAAAGTCCCATCCTATCATGTTTTTTTTTTTTTTTTTAAGAATTCAAAAGAAAAGCATTTTCCCATACGATTAATTCCAAAATCTTATTTCAAATCCATCTGGACCTTTAGTCTGTTTGTAACTTTCCAAAATCAAAGTTCTCATCTAAAGTTATTGCCAGATAATCTCAGGGCTGTAGACTTAAGAAGACAATGGGAAGCCACTTCTATATTCTTGCAAAGAAAACTACATGGTTGTGATGTTGAACTCATCTAAAAGCTCTCCGTTCTTCTGCAACATCCAGTCTCTGTTGCCTCAGAGGGCAGGACCAGAACCAGTGAGACATTTATTTGACTCTAAATAAATCCTCATTTTGCATTTCTGGGATGTTCCCCTAGGCATTCCCCCCCCCCCAGTCTTCAAAATCTTGAAATTCCCCCCAACCCTTCTATCTCCTCCTTCCTAGGGGTTGATGGCATCATTCTGGCTTCAGAATGATCCTCATTCATTTCAGAATCATGGAAATAGAGGAGAAAGGTCCAATTTTAAAAAAAGCCACAAGAGCAAAAAGCAGCGAAGAGGAAATGCAACGTAACGAAGTGACTTCATGTGGATGAGTCTGATGTCATTGTGATCATACACTAAAGTATGGGAACTCTACATCTTTTTAGATAGTCACAGCCATGCATTGAAGTACATACTTCATTCATGCAAGAGTTGCTTCCATGCCAATATATTCTTGGAAGCATCCTAGCTATTAATTATCCAATCTAGAGTGGATGAGGGTTACATCTTGTGCAATTGATAATTGCTTGACTGCTCAGCTCTGCCACGCTCTTGGCATGTCCTCCTTCAGGTGACTCACAAGCCAGGCCGAGGAGTGATCCTGTGTGATCCAGGAGTCAACTTTGGAACCATATGTGTTAGTCCGCCAGAATTTTAGCTAGTGACAAGCAAGACATAACTTGAGTTTGGTTCGAGATATTCCAGGGGGAGTATCATTTACATGACCGCACATATTACCGGTAGTCCTCATTTAGTGTCTGCCTCAGATAGTGACCGTTCGCAATTACAACTGTGATGAAAAAATAACTTTGCGACCAGAATCTATGGAATGGGAAGAGGAAGATGTGGGCACAGAAGTGGACAGGGTGCTTTGGGGTGTTTTAGTAAAAGCTTCATCCAACTTCAAAGTGCTGCTTTGAAGTTCTGCCCATCCTTCATTATTACATTTTGCATTAAGGATACCAGAATAGATAGAAGAAACATTTGATACCCATGGTTGAGGTCCCTTTGCTGCATTACTCTGGCAGACTTCATTTTTGCAGGTTAGCTAATGTTGTCGACTGGCTGGCTTTTAACAACACACACAACTATAGGGCCCTAGCTTTCAGATGGCAATTAACATTCTGTACAATTGAGTAGTACATCTTCCTATTAAAAAAAAAAAAACCTGTCATCCATAGGCAGCCACACCTCCCCAACCATTGACCAGAGAACTCTCTTTTAAGCCATCCAAAAGAATGTTACAGCCAATTATTCACTGAGACATGAATTGCAATTTACAATACTCTCGTCACTGTGCATGGGGTACCATAAATTATTTTGTGTAAGAACCTGGCATGCAACTGGTTGACCTTATAGGGACATGGATTGATCATGGCTTCTTCCTTGATTCCTCTGAGCTGTCATCCAATCATCTTCTCTTTGTGGACCCACTGGAATTCTCAGAGTCTTTTATCTTCTGAAAGGCAACATGCCTTATCATCTACATCACAGCACCAGTTGTGACTGCTAATTCCATGTATCTCCATCCATTGAACCATAGATCAGGTGTCAAGGCTGTGGTCTCTCAGGCCCATGGTTTTGGACTTACCCACCATTCCCAAGATGTTGTATCATCTAGAGAGTTATTGGAACCATATATAAAGATCTTCTCTTTCTAAGGCACTTCATTCATCAGCATTTGCTTACCTCACTGGTCCTTTGGTAAGGTAAGTCTATATCTACATTTAATCTTGTATCTGTTTATCAGCGTAGATTGTCTAGAGGGATAGATATTCACTAGATATTTTGGGAGCAACACACATAATTTCTTATAATCACCCATGCCAAGTGGAACTTATGGAGAACTATCGTCCAAAATATTTGGAGGGTATAAGTTGTCTTCTTATACTGGAGTTTATAAACTGCCACAGCCAGCCTCAGGGAGAGAACCCATGGAACAAGAAGACAAATATGTAAACCCTTTTCAACTCTCTGAAGGTCTATCACAGATGAGAGAACAATTTTGTTTTCTCTTGCTGTAGAGAACAGGAAAGCCCAGCCTGATGAGTTCAGATTGAAAGGAATGGGATTACAAAAGAAGGATGGTATAATTTATAATAAAGATCATTCCTGGACAGGTTGAAGGTTAGGGATGGAAGAGCAAGAAAGCTAAGTGTATGTACCAAATTTGGTTTCAAGTGCCAGTGCCTACGATATTTAAAAGGGTTTAAAGATTACAAGTTTTATTAAAATTCAGTTGAAGGCGTATGTAAATGCACGAATAAAAAGTGTGTACACACCCACACACACTTGATGCTAATGGTTCACCAAATAGTTCTCCAAATGTTTCAGTATTATTTTGGAATATTGGAATATTTAATAAATAACTAGACTGGGGTCCTATTATATCCATTCTTTCTCATCAGTAAGATGGACACATCTAGCTTATTATATCTGAAATTTGTTCTCCAGTGAATCACATTCACACATTTCAGGTCAAGGACTGTTGAACAGAAGCCCATCCTGTTCTTTTGTGTTTTTCTGACTCAGTGTATTTTGGTCCCGCGCTTTCACTTCCATCAGCCATGTCAGAAGAAAGAATCTATTCTTCTGGGAGAGAGCCCTACTTCAACTTGAACTCAACATGGTATGACCCAGCAGGATCCTGGCTGGACAATCGTCGTAAACCCTTCTGCTATGTCGAAAATACCGCTTGCGTGACTTGTTGCAACCCCAGGACCAATGTCCCCCGAAGAGGTGGCCATAATTACCGATGCTACTGTTACCGCCGTTCAACCTGTAGGCCAGGGGGGAACCCCAGAGTTAGATGCTGTGTTCACAACCCTTCAGGAGGACCCCGAGATTATTGGGGGCGCCCAATAGGAGATGCATGCAATGGGTGTACTGGGGGATACTATTCGCATGGAGACTGTGGATCATGCTGTGGATCTTCAGGAGAATGTGGGACTGGAGGAGGGCTAGTGGCTTGTGCTCAACCATGTGTTTCATCAGGAGGAGTGTGTGCTGAACCAGGGTGCAGACCTGCAGGGAGAGGTGTCTGCGCAGAACCTTGTGTAATGTCTTCTGGAGGATGGGGCAGCGGAAGAGGAGTGTGTGCCGAGCCAGAGTGTTCAGCATCAGGATGTGGTAGTAGAAGGCGAGGGGTGTGCTCTGAGCCATGTGCAAGAGCATCAGGTGGATGTTGAATCACAGAATCAGAGAAGGGACCATAGTCCAACTCTCTGTTTAGGGCAAGATCTATAAGAACATATTTGATAGATAACCATCCAACCTCTGTTTGAAGACCTCCAATGAGGGACAACTCACTACTTCATGTGACAGCCTGTTGTACTGTTTGACCACTCATACAGTCACGAACTTCCTTCTGATGTCCAGCCTGAACCTTCTTCCTTGTAGTTTTGGCTCACTGGTTCTGGTCCTTCCCCTGGGGCAACAGAGAATAAGTCCACTCCCTCTTCTCTCTAACAATCCTTCCAAAGTTCAGTTTATTTCAAGCCCTGAGTCTGTTCCTAGAACCCAAGAACATTTCCGCAAGGCTGTGTGCCTGCCCTACTGTCTGATGGATCCAAAGCCCCAACTAAAATTTGATCTTACTTGTTTCTTCTTTTTATTTACTCTTTCTAATACACCACTTTTCAAACAAGGAAAGGCCTGAGGGCTCTCCCCAAATCCAAAGGCATGGAAGAAGTATGGTCGTTCTTATCGATTGTCATATTTGTTATATTTTTATCCTTACTTTCTTAATCCCTTGCAATAATAAAATCTTTTCAGTCAAAAATGGAGTTGTTGATGATGGATTCTCTTGCACCACTCTGGTTTCTGCTGCTTTCTCTTTCCACATAACTCTAAGCTTCCCTGAGCGTAATGTCACAGGGGTGCGCACACAGGGATGCACACACATGGCTGGCTGGGGAATTCTGGGAGTTGAAATCCACACATTTTCAAGTTGCCAAGGTTGAGAAACACTGGCCTAAACATTGGAATCAGAGAGCAGAATGTGGTGCTCATCATTATTTTTCCTGAACATTTTGCTGGTACAAACAGGAATGTCAGAATCTGCCAGACTCAGATCCCAATGAAGAAACTCTCAGCTGAACCCTTAGTTAGTTTCAGAACAGAAGAAGTCTTTATTAAGAAGTAATCTACAGTTCTAAGTCATTGCCAAGACTAAAAGCCTGTGCACGCCAAAACTCTTTTTCTTTCCCCTTTCTATGACCCTTCTTTTCCCAGTCCATCCCTTTCTTCTTGATGATCTCAGCTCTTCCTGGGCCTCATGCTGGTACGACCTTGGTTATCTCTGGGAACCCGATAACAGTCCACCTGCACTTAACAGTTCTCTCCCTCTCCCCCTTTTCAATAATGGCAGAAACCAAGCAAGCTGTTGTTGTTGTTCAGGAAGAAGCAGTGTACTACCATGGAAAAATCAGAAAGTTGGGGAAATTCCACTGGGAAAACTGCCTCTCTCCACCTAGTTCCTTTTCAACATTATAACTGTCAGGTTCAGCCCAAAGACCTCCACGAGACAGTACAGATACA